AAATTTGTGAATTTGTGAATTCGACAGTACCAATGCTGCCACTGAAAATATTTGCTTAAAAACACTAAACCCTCCTCTCCCCCCCCCCCCCCCCACATGTGAAAGCAGCCTCCTCTTAGTTACCTCCTCTAAGTTTAAAATCGTTTCAAACTAAATTATCTGCCCCTAACAGCCGTCACCAAACCCGTCTCTATGATTGTAAAATGTAAACAGCGTGACCACAGCTCACCAAACAATGTGAGGGTGGGGTGGGGGTGGTAGTGATAGTGATAGAGAGAAAGAGAGGGGACTGCAAGGAGGCGCTTGCAGCTTGTTTTCTAACGGCTCCCAGAAGAGAATTATATATATAGATAAAAGTAAAGCGAAAAAGTTAAGATTTGTAAGTTTCTATTTCCCCTTGTCATGAGCACTCTACAAAACTAATTAAACACTAACAATTTTCAACTGAAGCCATAAAGACATAACTCTCAACATACCACAATGTGTTGGAAAAGCCAAGATTTCATTATTTGAGTAGCCTGTTTAGGTAAGATACCCCGCTTTTGCTTTGAACTCTTTTCATCCTCATCATCATCTGAAACCCTTACATGGTCTATATTAGAAAGCAAAAATAAGGCTATTATGTGACTGAAAAAAAAATAACAATATATAACATAAAACATAAACATATTTTCTTATTTTTCCACATAAAAAAAAATGGAGTGTTTTAATCATTTGACATATTCCCCCCCCCCCCCCCCCCCCCCCCCCCCCGAAGAAGAAAAACCATCAAAGCCAATAGGGAGAAGTATTTTATACCAAAACTTAACACAGACCAATCTTTTTATTAATAGCACATTGAGTGACCTAATTGTTTGAATTGATGTTTACAAAAGTTATAGGATATTTGTATTATGGAACAGCACAAATAATCGTGTTAGTGGAAAGAGCAGGTACAACATTTCAAATCAGAATTTAGAAACTTAGCCAGAAAATACAAGCTGGTAAAGTGACAGTTCTTTTTTAAGCTCATTAGAGCTTATCCTAATGGTTTTCATAACATAAAATGCAACTCCATTCAAGAATTATATATCTAATAAGTTAAAGTACTTTAAGGTAGCTAATTGTTTGACTGACAAGAATACTTTACTTGAGATTTTTCACAAAAATATCTTTACAGCGGAATTATATATGACCAACCTTTATTAAGGTTAGATTTAAGTTAATTTAACATTATTTTAGGTCTTTGGATTCAAAGCTCTAATGTTCAAACTTTTCTTGAAGGTTGGGATTAGTATTCGAGTGGTGAGATTTGGATTAGGTACATTTTCTTTCATTGTTTGTTCTTACTTAATAACTGAAAAACTACTGAAATGAAGGATTTAAAAAAATATTAGATGAATCAAAACATACTGGATTTCAAATCTACTTGCTGCTGCTGTAATGGCAATGACTGAACATGAGGATGCTGGTGCTGCTGTACTGTAGATGTCAAGGACACTCCTATTTGAGACAGTGGTGTGCTACCATGAATAACCTGCTGAACAGGCTGGCTGAGAGGGTGTGAGTGGACCTTGAATCTAAATCAATAAAAAATGTGAACCTCAACAAAAATAATATATGCTAATTTTATCTATAAAAACTGTACAAATTCTTTACAAATGTTTATTATTTTTCTAATTGTGAGTGGTGTGCATGTTGATCTGCTGGTGAGTATGGACAATGTATGAAATTTAATGCTTATTCTCAATAATGAAAACTGTAAAACAACTAAATGCCAAAATGTTAATCTAATGTCATATATGTTTTCATTCTGACAGTCTATACATCAGATTGTCTTACAAACTTGATTTTATGAGAGCTTTTGAACGCTTAAAAAAATTAACCTTTGAATATTTGATAAATAGAGCTTTATGCTTTAAGATGCTTAAGTAAATTTAAATGAAAATGTACAAAATGAGATTGTTATACTTGTGCCACATTGTGTGTGTGTGTATGTATATATATATATATATATATATATATACTAGCTAATAGCTGTGCTTTGCCACGGTGTGGATATGAATATTATCTCAGAGTTTACGCGCTGCGAGCAGGTGTGGATCAGTGTTTCTTCCAGACTTTTTTCGCTGGGGGGGGGGGGGGGGGGGGGGGGGGGAAGGGCACTTGAAATTTTCGGGGGGGGGGGGGGGGACACACGGGACGGGACACTGTTAAAAGTACATATTTTCTATATAATTTTCATTTCGATGGGGGGGGGGGGGTGTTGAGCCCCCCCGAAGAGAATACCTGGAAGAAACTCTGGTGCGGATCCCCGCATTGGGGCGAATATTCCATCAGCGCACTGCGCTGTGCGCGTGTAGCTTATACCCGAACACGGTGAGGGTATGGATATTCCCTCGGAGTTAATCGCGCTGCACGTGGATGGGGGTCCCCGCATTAGGGGGGATATTTTTGTAGCGCATTGCACAGGTGTCAGTATCCTCAGTTTACCGTGCTGCGCGCTTCGCTACGGTGTGGATATGAATATATGGATGAGGGTCCCCGTATTGGGGCGGATATTCATTCAGGCAACTGCGCTGCGAGCGGGTGAATATGTATATTCACAAAAATTAAATACGGTAAAAAAAAAAATTAGTACCGACGCTCTCACAAACGTCCGCCCAGACATCTCTCCCCCCGAACCCAAGGCGTAATTTAAACCGCCGCCAAATAACATGTTTCCCCGGCCATCCGCGCCAAGGGAGACACTTCCAAAATCCATAGAGATGACAGAATGAATGACACACTACCTGGCTGCTCATATTTTATATATATATATATATATATATATATATATATATATATATATATGTATATATATATATATATATATATATATATATATATAAATATATATATATATCCCTTTCTATTGGAGATATTAGAACAATTTTGTTAGTTTTATTCTGATGAAACCAATATATTATGGAGTAATTACTTTTCTAATTTCTTTAAAAGTAATTTTCATTCAGAATACCTAATAATTTTGACATGTCTTTATTTGTTGTTATACGTATTAAAATTATTTATTTAAATTTAAAACTAAAACATTACTTGTATAGGCTGCGCTACAATGCCTTGTGGAGTATGAACCATTTGGTAAACAGTGTTTCCAGACACAATTTGTGGCTGCTGAGGTTGCTGTAAAACCATACTGCCACCCACAACTGTTGGTGAAACTAGTGATGTCTGTTGTACTTGCATGCTGGGATTCATGGTCACAACACTTTGAGAGCCTAAATTAAAATTTGAAAGAATAGGGAATTTACTTGTAAGTTTGCCAAATACTCATTAAGCATATTCATTATATTAGCATATAATCTTTATACCTTTTAAGAAAGATGATTTAAAACACAAACAAAATATTTGTGAAAACATGGAATAGAAACATGAACTTCTGTATTCTAAAATCTTTTGAAACACTACCTGGATCTTAACTAAATGAGAATCATTACATGTTCAACAGTTGGTATTAAGCAGCAAAGGGAAGCTATGAGCTTTCAAATGCTGTGTTAATAAAATAAATATAAAAAACTTTTCTATAACAAACTTTCAAATGTAATAGAAAAAATAAAACAAAACAAACTTGGTTTCATTCATGAAATCATTGGTCGCTAAATGTTCAAGTGGTTTCAGGAGGGACCAATACTTTTATTAAAGAAAGCAAGTCAGTTTTATTTTTCATTGCAATTAAAAGCTTAAAAGAGGAATGTTTTTATAGTTGTTTTATTGTCAACTTTTAGTAATTGCTCTTAATGAAGATGACACCAAACGCAACTCAAAATATTACGGTTAAACCTGGTCAAAAACAATTTATGTGAGTTATGAGATTTTCCACAAACAAGCAAACAAACATTGTGAGCTAAATAAAAGCTCAAAAACCAAACCTAATGTTTCTAGAGCATAAGGCAAATGGCGGGTCAACATGGACTAAAATAGAATTCCATCTAGGTATCTATGTACTATATATTTGCGTGAAACCAATCAGTCCAACAATAAAATATCCTGAAAACCTGAGTACTCAACTAGCCCAAGACTAACTATGATATTACCAAAAGAAAACATTGCGAGAGCAGTGTTTGCAGGGTTTCGATTAAAAGAATAGGTGCTTAATTTACCCATATAATCTATAGGGTGCTGGTGTAAGCACAAAAGACAAAAATTGGGGGAAAGTGAGGAAAGTTTAATGAAAAAAAGCAAACACCAGTGACAAAAGTTTAAGCTTAGTTTTGGATAAAGATCTAGTGTAGCGTTGAGAGTGTAACGAGTTAGTGAACGAAAGCGGCTGAAAGAGTTTAGCTTCAACAGTAATTGAGTCAAGCTCTTCCACCTATCTCCTCCACCCTACACTAGGCCTCCTCCTCCATCGGCCTGTTCAATAAGCACGATTCTGTGGAGAATATTATCATTAAATTCACCCTTAATAAAATTTTAATGAAACCCTTTTACACTTGCAAAGGTTATGGTATTAATTGAATAAAATTAACTGCTGCATCTTACAAAACATTTTTTGTCATATGTGTATCCTTAATTTGTAATCAAATTGTTTTAATTTATATATATTCCATTGCAAAATATACAGCATTTAATGATTAAACTGATAAAAGGTGTGAATTAAGTAAAAAGGTAAGGTCAGCTGACGAAAAGGGTCAACTTGTGTCAATATGGAAAGCCAATCAGTTCTATTTATCTGTTGCTCGTTGTTTTTTATTGCATATGGTTTCCATTATTCATTTTTGTCTCTCAAGTTTTTTAACTTAATTTATTTAAAACGGATTAAAACATTTCAAAAAGTTATGTTATTTTTTATAACAAAATACTTATGACAAGACAAAATTCCTAGAAAAATATATATACTTTGATTTTAGAGGATGATATGCAGATTTGTAAATTTCCAATGTGGTTTTACCTCAATCCACTTGGATGGATGGTGTATGTATTTGGAGTCCGACCCTATAAATTTTGGTCAAATGGCGTCAATTCGTGCAAACATAGTAATCCACCTAGAAAAAGTAAGAGGGGCCTAACTCTAGCTGCAGTTATTAATTCAAGTAGAAAAGTCATTGCATTTGTAGTAAATTATTAAATTTGGTGTCACCCAACCCCAGACGTGGATTGACATGTCTGTTATTTATATTACAATTCTCAAGAAAACCTTTTTGCTCAGGCAAATTTTGCAACATTTAGTTGGTGTCACATCGCCCCTCCCCCCCCCCCCCCCCCCCCGGTTTTTGCTTTAAACAGTGAACAGATAAAACTAATGATGTTTATCTATAGTCTGTTATAAATACAGCTGGATGTAGTAGTATCACTAGTCGGGATTTTGCTCTTATTTAAAAAACTGTTTAACTCTAATCAATCACTTATTTAACTGGAATGATTTTTTTTTTAATATATATATATATTTCTATTTTTGCCTAAATGGTGCCCCCTTCCCCTTGATACGCCTCTTGGTAAAAGAAATGGTCTGAAATGGGTGAAGCAGTTCAATATAATTTAAATTAGGAAAAAGTGCATCTGTACTGTACTTTATTTACAAACTGGACATTGGCAGAACTACAGTGTATCTGCGTGAGTGATAGGGCATTAAAGAGGACTAAAATCCTACCATAAACAAAATGAAAGTTGATATATATTAAGATCAAACCCTACAACCAAAACATCCAATAGTGGTGGTGAATTGGACGGGCAAATTAAAAAAAATAATATTACTTTCAAGAACATTAAGATATGATAAATTAGCTAATTGGAAACTAAATGAATTGAATCAAATTGACACAGCTACTATGATGTTGGTCAGGCGTTGCATGATGCTTGCCCTACAATGAGTCCAAACATATTTAACTTATTTAACATATCCAAAACTCTAACATGCCAGTGTAAATACTTGCCCACACTGAGATCTTGTGGCTCAGGAGAATCACAGCCATCCACATGAAGCAGTTGTTCTGATGTTAATTTTCCCTTCAGACAGGTAATATAACGAGTGCAAAAGTCTTTACACAAATCATTTACTTTTTCCATTTCCATTAAATGAATGCGAAGAACTTGAATTGCTTTAACCATCTATAATACATTGAAGTCATCATTGAAGGGTTAAACTTTAATTATGCATCTTTCAGGTTAAATGAAATACCCTATACAGTATATAGTTGATAAAAATAATAAACAGAAAATAGAAAGGAAAGACTCCTAAAAAAATAATAATAAAAAATGAAATAAATAATTAAAACGTGACAAACTTTTCGCTATTATCTAAAAAGAAGAAAATAAATTTTTTAATGAAATAATTATTACGATTTTTAAAAAATGATCAGTGAGCATAATAAATTACTATGATTCGATCTAAAAATCTAGATCTCTAATTGTTTATAAATACTGACATATACACATAAAGACTAAAGAAATGTTTGATGTGGTAAGCAATAATATTTATTTGCTTATTTGAAAACTGAAATTCATGCTTACATTGTTATTTATAAATTATACTAGCCGTCCCGTACTGGCCCTGCACTGAAAAATCTATCTGTAAAGGACCGTTACTTGCAGAGTTTCTTCCAGGCATCTCTTCGGGGGCTCTGCCCCCCCCCCCCCCCCCCAGAAGTAAGTCTACCGCCCCCCGGATGAAATGGAAATTATATAGAAAATATATACTTTTAACAGTGTTCCCCCCCCCCCCCCCCCAAAATATTAAGTGAGGAGAAAAAGTCTGGAAGAAACACTACTAACTTGTGTTTATTAACAGTGTTTCTTCCCGACTGGTTTTCATTTGCTTTTTTGTTTGTGTTTTCTTTGAGTTTGTGTTTGATTTTGTGTTTGTGTTATGTTTGAGTTTTTTTGTGTGTTTTGGTTTTGGTTGGTTGTGGTTAGGGTTAATTTGAAAACTAATATATTTCCTAAACCAGAGCAATGCCGGGTATATGCTGATTACTAAACACACATGTCATGGTCCTTTACAGATAGGTTTTTCACAGAGGCCAGTGCAGGGCCTGGCCAGGACTGCTAGTAGTGACCCATGCTTTTCTTCATAGTAATTAAAATAGTAGTGTATTATTATATTTAAAGAAAACCTTTTATTTTCTACTTTTTAGTGAATTATTACATAAAAGCTTGTTATTAAAGTGTTGTTATGCTCTTTTAAAAATGTCTTTAAACTTTTTAATGAAATTTCTTAGTTTTGATGGATTAAAATATAAAGTTAAGCACCACCACAAATAATTCTATAAGATATAAATTCAATGAAATTATTATCTCCTTCTAAATAAAATTAATTATTTTCAAAACAAAACTTCTAAATGTATAAGTTAAATGGTTATTTATGGTAAAACAATGGTTATCTTTGCTGACTGTTGACTTTGGGGTGTTAAATAGTATTTATAGATATTTTTTTATGACCTTGACCTATAACTTACATATTAATGAATACAAATTGAAAATAATTTTTTTTGGGAAAATATATATTTTATTCCTCAATTTTCAGAATTACTAAATACCATTATATTAATTTAGTTTTGCTGTAAATTCGCCAGCACATTATATTAAAATAATACCCATGGTTGCGATGTAGGTGAAAAGATTCAGTCATTGGTATTCTTTTTATTTCTGTTATGAGCAATATTTAATTGCATTTAAAACAATATTTTTAAAAAAATGTATTGCTGCATTGTCATCAGATTTCAACGTAGATCTATGAACATAGTTTGAAATGAATTGGTCAGTTAAAAGTAGATAAAAGAACTGATTGCAAAAATCCACCTAGACATTTCATGTAACCAAGTTGAATAAAAGCTAATAAAAATAAATACCAGTTCATTGACTTCATCATCAGTACCAAGTATTGAGCTTTTTGATGTTTCATGATGCTTCATGAAAGCTTGAAGTTCCCTCTCAAAACTATGTGAAGCAATGTCAGGGGAATAAGTTGAATTTTCACATTTGTCAAAAACCATTGCAAGCAATGGGAATAATGGGTGCCTATAAACAATATAAATTCAAAAGAAATATTATAAATATATGCAAAACATATTTTATAACACAGACACACATGATTCCTACAACCTGTAATATTTAAATGTAATAAAAATGATATTCAGATAGTAAGGTCAAACACATCACTTCCTTGAGTTCAGTTCCCACTAATAATTAAAATTTTAACCGTCCTTTCAGTTTGTGCAACATTGAGACATTTATTCAAACATGAAATTTACTACATAATCAAAGCAACATTTTTATTTTTCCTAATAAAGAATTGCCAAGTAATTTTTCTTGAGGTTTCAGTGATATTTGCTAAACAAATCTATACAGAGTATTGTAATCGTGCAAAAAATCGAAATCGAGATTTGTGAAAATCTAGACGTTTTAGACCTCTCTGAGTCGGAAAAACTTAATTTTACAATCTTGTCTGTGTGTGAACACGATAACATGAGTATGAGTACCGTAACAGCTAGGTTGACAAAATTGTATATAGAAATATTATATCAAATTTGTAGTTCGGTATCAACTTTTCAGCGATTTCCGGTAACCGGAAGTGGAACTTATTCTACTCTCGGTTTTTCAAAAGCCTATAACTTAATTACTGTTTCAGTTATATTGAAGAAATTTCACATGTAGATCTCTATGTAGAAGATCTAATTCTCTTTATTTTCTGAGTAATTTCCTGTGACCGGAAGTTGTACTTCACCCTATTTCAAATTTATTTAAAAAAACGCATAGGAATTTATGAATTTATTTTTAACTTGATTGCCCTGTCTTTATAAAAAAAACTCATGTTCCAAAGTACTATACAAATACTATTTGCTGTTCATTTGTTACGCAATTATTTTTTTCTACGAGATTTTTCTTCTATTTAAAAATTTAAGTATTTGAAAATTGATTTTAAAAAACTGTCTATATCCCGACTGCACTGGAGTTACCATCCTCATTAGTGTTATCTAAGAATATTCAAGAAAGTTTAGGGGATATTACTCCCGCTTTATTAAATTGTGTTATATGGATAAAAGAGCAAAGTTATATAACACTATATTATTTTTAAATACACACAAAAAAACGGCTTATGAGGTTATTCTAATGAAAATGTAAGTAGTGATTTTCTCTAAAATGATGTATTTTAACCAATACCTGCTAGCTCTTATGGGACGCTTTTTTATAACTATTTACGTTTAGATTTATAAAAACAATATTCGTAATCATGTAAGTATAATTAGATGTAACAGTCACAGCTTTAGTTATTTCCAAGTTTTATTCTCTTTGATGGATACAAGATTGAACGTTTACTAGACGTTTGAACATAATTTCCGCTTTTTAGACCATGGTATGGCTAACCCTATTGAACATAGTTGTTTTTTTTTTTTAATCTGTCATAAACAACGTAATCATTGGTCTAACAATACAAAATCAGTATTCAGCTTAATTTTCACGTAATTAGCCATATTTCGTGATAAAATGATTTTTAAAATTTGCAATTCATTTACATGGGGTCGTTCGTTACTAGCGTCTCTTTTAAAAATTATTGATTTATAGTCATTTCTTCGAACATTGCCCAAAAGCTAAACCATATCAATCTTTTTTATATTTGAGGACTTTGGATAATATGGGTTAATCTTAGCTTTGGTAGCACCATATTGAAGAGTCTTGGTAATGCTTTAAAATGTTTTGACATACATTTACAGGTAGTGGTGTCCCTAGGCCGAGTGTCACAACTTAGGTGTCACTCAACCCATCTCTAACTATTTTGTCTATACCATTTTATTAATATAGATTAACAACTGAATAAATTATTTGACTCTTAATTTTACTATTTTTTCAATTTGGTCTAACTCCCTAAATGCCGTCAACCTTTATCCCAAGTCGCTAAGAGAACTTCATCAATGCATTAACAATAGTGTATTTTAGACACGTGACCTTATTTTCTATAACGGAGTTATTTAAAAGTAAACAAAGCAGGAGCTATATTTCTAAGATCAAAGTTATTGGGAAGCGGGTTTGTCCACACTCCCGCCCAGACGCCCCAGGGAAAGCCTTGAGTATTAAAATCACCGTCAGCAAAAGTGAGTTAGAACACACCCCGGCGTCCGCCCCATCGTATCCATAGTGTATCGCACCTACCCTTTTAAACGAACGTAGGTGCCATAGTGCCTAGGGCACTTAAGCCCAACGTGCCGGGGCACCACCCCTCCAAAATTTAATTTCTTTTTTCGCAGAAACTTTCCCAAGTTTCATGACGATCGGAACAAATGTGTATTAATGTTTACAAGACAAACAAACAAACACTAGAAGAGTCAGACCCACATACTTTCATGTTTATAGATATAGACGCCTAAGCTCTAACGGACAACCTGTTTTACACCCCTGCCCCCTGTGCCGGTCGCCCAATCAACTGATCCCAGTTGCTTAGGTAGCCGCGGGGAAACTCGAATCGCCCAAAAGCTAACAACCTCTAGACATGATTTCTTTTAGGCACCTCTCCAAGCTCCCCCCCCCCGAGCAAATTTTAAAATATTTATAACATATCTACCCCCCCCCCCCCCCCTTTTGGAACAAAGCAAATAAAATTTCGCAGTTGTATTTTATGCCAGAAATTTTTATGGGCAAAGGGAAATAACCAACTTAATATTTTTTTGTTATAAATAATCTCAGTTTGGTTAATACCTTTTGATTAAATAATTACAGTTTTAGTATATTCCATATTATCATTCGGGGACCCTTGGGGGGGGGGGGCGAAATCATTTTTTTCTTGCTAAAAACTTCCAATGAGTATTGTCATCTTCCCAAAGTTTCATGGCTATGGGATAAACAGTGTAGTAATTCATAAAGGACAGGCACACCTGTCCACAAATAGACATACGATTTTATATATAGATATTTGTGCATGATCATTATCAATAAAACGTTTAACTAGAAACTTTTTAAAAAATTGTAGCATATTGAAAAGAAATACCTGTATATATTTTGTTTATAAATTTCAAAATTTGCTATATCCTCAGGAGCATCATTTTTTATTTGCAAAGAATGAGGTACACTTGAACATGTATCTTGTGCTGCCAAGCTCAAGATATTTTGTTGTAAGCTAAATAAGAGAAAAATAACAGAGTATCATAGGACTTTTTATTATTGAATCTCAACACACACAAATAAGCTACACTACACTACAAAATATTTGCTGTCACTGACAGCACGATAAAGAAAAAAAAAAGGCTGAGAGCGCAACTTAATTAAATCAAGTATTAGTGTAGCCAGCCAATGAAAACTAAATCATGCTCAAACCCTACGCCTATGATAATAATTATACATTATAGTTTTATATTTAAAATGCCGCAGACTTAAAAACATCATCAAAATCGTCTGCAAGAAATAGCGCAAGAGGAAAAACAAAACAAGTATTAGTATGAAAAAATTGATAGCAATAAAGTTTAAATGCAAAAAAAAGGAAAAATATATATAATTTCATGTACTTTAATTAAAAGGTAAAACAAAAACATTGGTCGCAGTTTGTATTGTAGATATTTCAGAAGCGCCAACAGCTTTAATTTAAAAAAAATTAGATTCAAATACACTTTATGTAAGATTAGGTCGATATGAAAATATAAAAAAGCAATATTTTATTCAGTCGACACCCAACAGGAATAAAATGTATTTGCTTCATAACATGAGTAATGCTAACAATAATATCTGCCCCCTCTGTTGACGCTGTCAGGTGCAACCACGTGAACAAAGTTCACCAATTGATGGGTATCACTACTTATCTAATTATCTCCTGGTTTGTTATTAAATATATTAATTTTTATATTTAGACAAGCATTTAGGGATCGTCCATAAATGACGTCACATTCGTAGGGGGGAAGGTATGGGGGTCCGTAATTTTTTGACGGTTTGTGATGAGGGGGGGAGGGGGGGGGGGGGTCTGATGGTGTGACGTGACTGTCACACTTTTGCATTATAAAAAGGCAATTTTACAAAATGAATTTTAGCCGTTATTTCACGTTTTAGAAATTGTTTTAATAAATTGTAATAGGAATTGATTAAAATACACTTTGTTGACAGATTCAGACAAAAAATTTTAAAAATAGCGATGTTTTAAGAAAAATTCAACTGCAATTTTGAGGGGGTTGAAGGATGAGGCGTGGCGTCATTTTAAGGGGGTAGGGGTCTGGATTATTGTGACAATGTGACGGAGGGAGGGGGAGGTAAAAATCGTCCAAAAAGGCGTGCCGTCATTTATGGATGACCCCTGAGCATACTATGGAAACATTCTACTTACCTTGCTGCACTACCAGACAGTCCCACATTACTAATAACAGGTGCGTCGGAGTATGATGGGATGTGATTCTGAAGGATTGACATAGTCTAAACATTTGCAAATCGCTTCTGAAAAAATAACAATTGTAAGAAGCTGTCAATATTTTGTTAAATTAATATTGACAATGAAAATATTATAAGCTCCATATGTGTATATATATATATATATATATATATATATATATATATATATATATATATATATATATATATATATATATATATATATATATATATATATATATATATATATATATATATATATATATATATATATATATATATATATATATATATATATATATATATATATATATATATATATATATATTCAAGTGCCCGGAGAAAGAAGGCTAAAAAAAAGACAATATGTGTGTGTGTAATTGCAATGTCAGTATTAATATGCTTGCCTACCCTTATAGTTCGCATAATGTTAATGCAACTTTCTTTTTAATTAATGATGTAAATTAAGCAACACATTTTAAAAAACCTCTAAAATATGGCGAAACAAAAAAAGCCATGAAGAAGAAAAAAGAATGGGAAGGAATCAAATTTCGTAATAGATAATCCACAATGTTTGAGTGTTTGGACTAACACGTGAGCGCCATGGCGTCTAAGTTCGTTTTAAACAGTGCGAAAGACTATGCATTAGATAGGGTATTAGAGTCGTTTACTAATCATAATCAGGCGCGTCCCGCGGCGCCCCGGCAAGGTGCGAGTTGGCGCTCTGTGCCAATCCTTGAGCGCTATGGCGCCTTCGTTCGTTTTAAAAAGTGCGATAGAATATGGATAAAATGCGGCGTTAGTCGTTCACTTATTTGAATCAAGCTCCGGCGTTTCGATCTAGACTGACGAGGAAGTGAGTTAAATAAAAGCTTGTAAAATGATAACATTTGTAACTAGTAGCCTCCTAGGGTAAACTAACTTAATCTCTATTACTATTTACATTATTTCTCATTTTATACAAATAAAAATACTCATTGCATCAGGCGCGGTCAGCGGTCATGCAAAGTCTAGAAAATGTCTAGAAAAGTTAGTTATCTAATACAGGGGTCGGCAACCTTTTGAGCCGGAAGAGCCAAAAGTTACAATTTACAAAAATATAAAAGAATATTTATACATAAAAAAACAAACAAATATTTCGCACAAAACATAAAGTATTTTAGCTAGCTCTAGTACAATAAAATTAGTAATCAAACAATATAACTATAGGACTACCCCAATTCACTTTACAAGCCATTAGCCAATAACTTTTTTTTCTTTCTTTACGGACACCACCGGCTCAGGCTTTCTTGTGTTTTCTTAATTTATCAAGGGACGTAATAAGTGCTAAAGGACTAAATGAAAATTATTTTCAGACACAGTTACAATTTTTGTGAAGGGTGCTACATTTTCTTTAATTATGTTTGATGCACATGCCGTCAATTTGGAAAATGACATTTGTTTTATTACACCTTCGATATTAATTTTTTAAATCATTAATTTAGATAATGAACGCTTTAGATATCTTACACTATGGCAATCAAGGCAATTTTTTTTTACTATATTCCTTTGATATTACGGGTCCGCCCGACACATAGAATTGAACTTTATATATTAGATCAAGGGTCGGCAACCTGCGGCTCTTTTAATGTCAAGATGCGGCTTTTCAGTTTCATGCACAAATCTTAATAATTAGGCCTATAATATATTTTTTTCAAAACTCATTAAAAAATATTATAAAGAAATACAACTTTAAGCAGGACAAAACACTCATCAGAGAACAGTGACAATAGGTGTTTTCTTCCTGTTTGGATTTGCGTTTGTGGTTGGGTTTGTTTGTTTACGTTTTCTTTTCTGTTTGCGATTGTGTTTTGTTTGTATTTTCGTTTGTGTTGTGTTTGCGGTTTTTTGTTGTTGTTTTTTTTTGTTGTGGTTAGGGTTAATTCGAAAAGTTATATATTTCTTAAACTCGGGCAATGCCGGGTATATGCTTATTACTAAACATACAAATCATGGTCCTTTACATCGAGTCTAGAATCTATCTAGATTTTCTAGATCTAGATCTAGATCTCTAGATCTAGATCTTTCACAGAGGCCAGTGAAGGGCCTGGTCGGGACGGCTAGTAGATCTAGATCTAGATCTACTTTTATCAGTCTGGAAAAACCATTAGTTTTCGAGGATAGCTTTTTCTAGATTTCTCTAGATCTAGATTCTATATCTAGAAGAATCTAGAATGCAGATATTATCTGGGTTTCTACTTCTAGACTAAACCCGAGAGTAACTACACTTTAATTATAGATCTAATCTAACCTAGATTATTTTATAATAATTCTTAATATTTAGGCCCAGATCTATTAAAATATCTAGATTTCTAGATTAGATTCTATTTCTACACTAGATTTCACTAGATCTATCTAGAATTCTAGCTCCATTTCTACTAGATTTTAGATCTAGATCTAGATTAGATCTAAACGTTTTCATTTAGTCTACAAATTCTAGAATCTACATTAGATATAAAAATCTGATCTAGATTCTAGAGTTTAGAACATTATACTAGAATCGAGATCTATATTTCATAAGTTAGAGCTAGATCTAGATCCTTTTATTTTTATTCTAATCATCTAGATCTAGATCAAATCTACTTAATACTTAATAGTGTTTATCTGGATCTAGATCTAGCTATTCATACTAAAATCTAACTTCTAGATCTATATCTATAACTAGAATTAGAATCTAGATCTAATCTAGATTCTAGCCCAGAGATCAACTCTACTAGATTCTAGATCTAATCTAGATCTAGTCACTAGTTCTACTAATCTAGATATCTAGACTCAAGACTCTATGCGCTATAGACTATAGATCTAGATCTAGAGTATAGTTATAGATTCTTCTAGATCT